GTTCTTTTATGATTCTCTGGGTGATTAGAACGCTGGTATGAATTGTTTTATATATGTCACTGATTATAGTTCTTGCTTTATGACACTGTCACTAACTCTGTAAGATCCTAGGAAAGTGGTTCCACTCAACAAGCTGTTGAAATGAACTTAATATTCATTTTTGTATCTCAAAAGAACCTTATCTCCTTGCATGTTCTGTCATGATAAAGTACTTAAAGAATGCAAACATGAAATCATTATAAAAGGGTTCAATGAAATCTTTCACTCTGTATCACAATGTACTATTTTCAGTTGTGGCTAGATTTTTGGTTTGACTTGCTCAACTGCAATACACTGTAAATTTCTAAGCATTGATTTCCTGAGTAATGTGTTTCCTAAACATCCACCACTCTTTAAAATTGGTAGAATACAAATGCTTCCTAAAGCCTTGCAGATTGCACTCGGTATCACTAAAACACATCGGTTCTACTATTTGTTCTGTACAGTCATCTTGCTTACACTGACTATAGTTAAGCCATTCTCATTGTGCTACAATCCAAGTCAGGAAAAGTAGTTTTTCTCAGCTCAGAAGGTAGCACTGAGGTTTCATGGTATCAATACCCTGAAAACCTAGGATCCTTCTCACCAGCTCTGAAAAACAATTCTTGTGACACTGTTGGTTTCTCATCATTTAAAAGATCTTATACTATCAGCTATTTTCCTTTAAAGCAATGTTTGTAATCCAGATTCTTAATTCTTAAGATAAACTGCTTTATGAAATTTACCTTATTATTGTGGGGACAGAAAACCTATTCTCAGGTATTCTGAAAGTCATTTTTATATAACATATTTTTAAGATAAATAAAACTCCAAGGAATATCTCTGTCTAAAATAAAATTTAAAATCCATACATTGTTGCTAATTACTAAACTGAAAAAAAGTACCAGTGAGATGTATCATCGAAATATACCAATGTAGCATTGAAAAGTTATTTTCAAAATTTTTTATTCCATACCAATTTGATATGCAACAAAAGCATTATATGCTTAAATCTGTCTCCTAAATAGACTTTTTAAATTTGTCAAGTCAATCTTCTTCCAGAGGCAAATAAATATAAAACACATATTCATCAATTATACATATTAAAATTTTTCCTTTATAAGAAAAATTATATGCACAGCTTAGCAGTTCATCTTATGTTGACAAATTTGGTTCATTTGCAGAGACTGCCATTTCTTAACTGTATGAATCCAACAGATATTCAACAGGTATTTTTACCCTAATGGACAAACGTCTCATTCAACTTTTTTCTTGTATTTTTTTTAGAAGATATTCCATTTGCAAATTTAAGTTTGGTTGACCCTTTTTAGTCCTTTTGCTCAATATTTTGAACATTTCCATTTTTTTCTTTTTGTAGAGTTTTTGAGCTTCTTCTCTCTCTTGTTTTCTCCTCTCGAATTCTTGTTTCTTAGCAGCACGCTTAGCTTGTACCTGCTCATATTCTTCTTGTGCTTTTTGACTGGATGTTTTCTTTTTCTTTTTCTTGGGAACAGTGTTAGGACTCACTGCGTTGCTACACCATTTCTCTGGCTGAGGCAGATGATCCTGGTCTTCACATAAAACTCCATCAACTGTACACTGTTCTTCAAGAAAAGGCTGATTAACTTTTTCTTCTGACAAAGGCTGGTTGGCTTTTTTTAGTTGCTTCTTGAGTCTTTCCTCTTCAGCTAAATAGAGATGTTTCAAGTGATCTGGGTACTGATCTGAGAATTGGGATTCCCATGATGTTCTAGTCTTGTTTTCCTTCCAGAGCAATTTCTTGTAATTTTGCTGAATCTTCAATTTTCTCCGAAAGGCAAAGCCTTGTCCCTCGCGAACGCTTCCCGCGAAGGCCTGTGCATGGTTAGGCCGCCAGGTCCTCCGTTTCCCATTCTTATTCTTCAAGCCGACCGAAGAAACCTCTTCACCTCGTGTCCCCAGACCTCTTGTTTGCCACCTCGCCGCCGGGCTCACTGGTGCCATCTTGCATTTACTGCCCGGGCAGATGTAATGCTTCTTCATACACGATGGTTTGAGATGGGCTGACCAAAAAAGAATGTCTGTGGCTGGGTGTTACATTCTCTTTGACCACGACTCTGCTAGTCTCATGTTGGGCTTTTGTGCCACAATAGAAAACAAAACTGGTTTAAAGCTGAATATTTTGTTGCAAAAAATATTTAAGTGTTGCAGCATATATTCTATTAGATGCTCAAAAGTTATATGTAAAAGTTATATGTAAAAAAGTTATATATAAAATACCTGGTATCAATATGCATTATCAGTACTGACCAGATAGTTCAGTGAGCTAAAGCACCTGCTTATGCAGAGCACAGAGGCCAGGGTTTGATCCCAGGTGTCCCCTGTGGGCCCCGCCCACAGAGCACACTGACATAACCAATGAGACTGGGCATGGTGGCTCATGCCTGTGATCCAAGTTCTTGGGAGGCTGAAAACAGGAGGATCACTATGAGTCCAAGCTGTGTAGTGAGGCCCTGTAGACCCTGTACTAAAATACATTTCAAAATTCATTATCATTATTTTTATCTTTTTTAAAAAAATTATTAAATATTGAAAGTCTCATTTCAATTTTAGTATGAGTGCTGCTCAAGTGAGCACTGAATATTGAGTCAGTTCCTATATAGTACACAAATAATTCAAAGAATATTTCACCTTACAGATTTCTTCGCCTATCCTGTATTCTCATTGTCCTAATTTTGCTTAGTGAAATAATCTTATTATGATCTTCGTATATCTTTTCTCAATACAATATCAATACTTGTCAATAAATACATGTTCAAATAATTTCTTCCTCTCTTTCCTTTATAGGTATTTCATTCCTTTTAAAATGTGGAAAATGTACTTATTTAATAACAAATAATTGTAGCAAGTGGTACAATGTATATCTTCGGCACAGTCGTCTAGTACTACATACTTCAGAACATTCTGAATTTTCCAAAACAGAGATTGAGAACAATGTTAGTGGGGCCAGTGTTCATAAGGCCCAGGTCCTATGTACTCTCAGACAGTTGGCAGATGCATTCACTACTTACATACATGTTGTCAGCCTTGATGCATTAGAAAAATCCCACATGAGTGGAGCATACATTAAAACCATTTCTTTATGCCCATGATGGTACAAAGATTGCATTTCTCAAAAGACAAAATCCAAGTGAAGAACATTTTCAGATATTACACCAGTCTTATATTTTTAACTGTGCTTTTTTATGTATGTAGTGTAGGGTCTACAGGGTCTCACTAAACAGATCAGACTCATAGTGATTCTCCTGTTTTCAGGTTTCCAAGCGCTGGGATTACAGGCACATGCCACCATGCCTAGTCTCCAGTCATAATTTTTGTTTTAGGGTTTGGAAGGTCTATTAGTTAGCAGGGTCTAATTTTTCTTTCCAAATTTAGTAGCAAATATGCCAAGCTTTATGTGACTTTGTGTGTATAACAATAGGCACTAGGTGTTAATAGATAAGAAAAATAGAAAAACACAGTACTGACCTTAAATCAGCCTGTGACATACAAATTGGCAAATGTGCAGCACAGTTTTGTATTTTATTTATACCTTCCACAGAATATAGTTCTATTATAAATATACACTGTGTATTGATTTATTCAAACCATAAGCATTTGGCATTGTTATTCAATCCAGTGTGACATTATCATCAAAATTTAGCATCGCTTGACATTTTGGAAACATAATAAACTTGTTTATGCTGATGAGTTATAAGGTGTAACATTACTGAAATGTGTCAGAATTGATACAGAGAAAAGTTACCTTGCCTAGTGGCACCATATTTATTTTGTAATTTATATGATTCAAGAGATGATTTGCTTTGCAGAAACCATACATTTTTATAGGAAACTCAGAAGGTATCTAAAGTTTGTCTTTGTCCTTTAATTTTTTGACCCATGTCCTTGCACCACCTTTCTCTGGGACTCATGTATCTGTTTCTAAGTGGTATTGAATACTGGGAGAATGATTGAAATAAGTCAGAGAATAGCAGCTATAAATAATTAGCTTTGATTGGTGACTTCTCTAGGGTAAGATCTGTTCTAGACACTTTGCATTTCTGAATGGCTTTAAATCATACCAAATAATCAGGTACTGTTATTCCCACTTTATATATAACGAACCCACCTCAGGAAAAGCAGGTTTTAAAACCTGATTCATTTCCACTCATATATAATCTGTCTTCACAGTGAGATGTTCTAGCTACTTTGTTTTGTATTTTGCTACCACATTATCTCACATTTCCAGTATTCTTGCCATCACTAAGTTCTTAATTTAATGAAAAGAGAAGCAATATCTAATAATTGTATATGCAGTCCAATTTTTTTTATATATTTAGTACAGGGTCAACAGGTACTATACAGATTGGACTTCTAGTGATCCTCTTGTTTTCAGCCTCCCAAACGCTGGGGTTACAGGCATACCCAGTCTCAATTGTCCAGGGGCCTGGGTCGGCACAGCTTGCCTGGATCGAACCCACGTCCCTGCCTCTGCCTAATCAGGCACTTCAATCTGCTGAGCTATCTGGCTGGCCCTCCAGTCCAATTTTTAAATCTTTAAAGAAAATATTAAAAATAATCTAAAGATGCAGACTGAATCATTTCAAGTTGCTGTATACATTAGAATAGTTTCCAAGTTGTGTATTTTACATTATCTACTTATATAGTAATATTTTGTCTATTGTTCTTCTGTATTAATTTGATAATCATACCCTACCTTGTAATCTTAATGCTATTGTCAGGGGTGGTGGCAAAAACATGTAATCCCAGCAGTAGAGAAGCTGAGGCATGAGGATCACGGAGAGTTCAAGGCTAGCCTGGGCTATAATATAGTTCAAGACCAGGCTGAACTGCACAGGGAAACCTTGTCTCAAGAAGGCAGTGGTTCACAGTGTGGCACTACTGGACCAGGAGCATTGCACAACTAGGAACTTGTTAGACACATGCAATACCTAATGCCTCCTTAGCTAAGTCCACAAATTAGAAACTACAATTGGGCCCACACAGTCTCTGGTTGATTCTGATACGTGCCAAGGAAAGATTCCCTTTCCCCAAGACAAGCCAGAAGTAAGTCCAACATTGCACAGGTTTCTTTAGGTCTCAGTTTTTCTCTTCTTGATTTACCTCAAGTAATTTTTCATCTCACACATAGAATCTTTCACCCTCTTTCCTCAGAAGGCCTACTATGCACTACCCACCTGGCTTCCAAGGAGACCAGAGAAAGCTCTTCAGTAGGTTGTTTTCTGTTTATTTTTTAAATGAATACTGAACATACTAATTCAGATTCGATGGGCAGACTCTTGGGTGTCAAGTCCACTGCAGCTCTTGAGATTCCCTGAGGGAGGACAGTGGAGGATGAGGAAAGGAGGACAAGAAGGGATGAAGGAAGCTCAGGGCCCTTGGAGCGCTCTCCTTCTGGAGGAAAGGAACTGCCCACAGCTGCAGTGCCTTTCCTAATGTCATCAGCAAGAGGTGGGGACACATGAAGTGCTCTCCTGCTGGCGGGGAGGACCTACGGAACAACTGGTTTATCTGGCTTGCCAGGGCTTCCAGTTCTTGGGGCTGGCCTCCTGTGATTGTTTCCCCACATTTAGATTTTCCCAAAAGCATTGAGTAGAAAATAATGAAATAAATAAATCTTGACACTGTATGTAATTAAGCATTTTGGGGGGCTAAAAACCCAGAGTGTCCTGTTTTATGGAAGAACAGAGTACTGCTGAAGAGATAGGAAAGAAGCAGAAATGTGTCAGGAGGAGCATGCTTGCTTCTCTTTCTTCAAATTTTCATTTATAATTTTAATTTCTCTGCTTTTATAAAAGAATTTTTTAATTTCTTATTTTCACAAAAGGTTCTCTAATGCTTTTCTCCTACCTGCTGTCTAATCATGTACCTGCACATTCTGGCTCACTCACTTTTTTCCAACTTACATATACAAACATTGTTAATAAATAGAATTATTTATTTTTATACCCTGTTTGATTAAAAGACATGGATCTTAGTGTACAGAAATGAAAGCATTGGGAGACCAGGCTAAAATCTCACAATCAGAAAATGGAGAGAATTCGGTGTCTAAAACAAATCTTCTAATGCAATGTTCTATAAACTTCCATGCGATGGAGCCAGGGAGATGGCTCAATAGAATAAGGACTTCCCTGGCAAGCACAAGGGCCTGAGTTCAATCCCCAGTTGTGCCAAAAAAACCTAAAAAGCTTCCATGTGATAGTCCCAATTCAAGATGCTCTGAAATCAGGAGTTTACAAATTGAATTTACAGAAAGCTGATAACTAGAACTCAGTTTTAGTGAAAGATAAAGTTCATGTTGATTCTATGCATTAGCATGTATCATTGAATTAAAAATCAAATAATGTATAAAATAGAAATATTTGAAGTTTTGCTTTGCTTTTCTGCTTTGTTTAGATGGAGCTTGCTAAAGAAGAAAAGTGTGAATTTTTGCCTTTCCTCTCCCCACGGAAGGTGATAGTGAAAGGTGGGAGGATCGTTGCGATGCAGTTTGTTCGGACAGAGCAAGATGAAACTGGAAAGTGGAGCGAAGATGAAGAGCAGACAGTCTGCCTGAAGGCAGATGTGGTCATCAGTGCCTTCGGCTCTGTCCTTAGTGATCCTGCAGGTACGGTGCCTTGGGCCTGAGGCGGGCTACACCTGTTGTGTCTGTTACTGCAGTAGTCAATAATTTCCAGCATTGTGGTAATTAATCGTTTTTCACATTAGCATTCACTTTCTATTCCTAGTTTAGAGTGCAAACAAATCTTGATGTAAAAGGCTTCCAAATGCTGTTTAAGGAGTTTGCAGAGTTATTTTAAATAAGTGGTGAAAATGGAAATGAATATATTAATCTTTCTTTTAAACTGATTTCCAAAATATGTATTCTGCTTTATAATAGTGTTAGGTTCATTTTCTATATGAGAATGGGTTTGACTTCATTGAGACTAGTGTAAGAAAATGTA